TATATATATACTTGAACTTGTTTGAACCCTATTTCCTGAACAAATAGAGAACATATGGGCAGTACCTGAGGCCAAACAGGCCATGCCCACAGCGAGACCCTGGGCTGAGAATGATGCCCTCTACCGGCACCCAGGGAGGGCAAGCCAGGTTCTAGGAGACATGGCAGCTGCCCCAACCCAGACATCCTAGATGTTGATATTGTCACTGCTTAGGTTGAAATGAAATCACAAGACCCCTAAGTAGGAGCTCACATTTGGATATTACTTCATTTCCAAGTGCTTCCGGATTTATGGACTCATAGGATACACACTACAGTCCTATCCCCACCTTATTTGATTGCTCAGGGTCGAAGAGGAGTGGAGATCTCCTGACCTCATGCCAGATGCTGGCTCCTTCCACCACACTCAGGAACACTGTTCCCACCCACCTGGACGATGACAAACACAGCCTGGGTGAGAGGGTGCAGGATCTTGATGGCTGACTGGCACTCAAAGAAACTGGAGTAGTAGCCAGTCTTGAAGACATCCATGACGAGAGTGCAGATCCCAAACAGCACCAGCCCGCCTGGGAGTGAGGGGTGGGGGATGGGTCAGAGGCAATGGTTTATAGATCTGGCGATGGATGGCTAGATGGGTGGTGGGTTGGATGGTTGGGTGGATGGAAGAATGAGTGGGGCAGGTGGGAGGATCAAGGGACAGATGAACGGGGTGGGTGAGGGGATGGATAGATGGCTGGCTGGCTGGGTGGATGGTTGGACGATGGATGGGTGGATGGATGGATGGATAAATGGATGGATGGAAAGATGAATGGGTGGATGGAAGGATGACTACAGGATCGAGTGAGTGGATGGATGGGTATCCTACTGAGCCGCTATCTCTTTGGGGTTGCACAGATTGGAGGAAGAAGGGCCCTATGTGGGGGTCTTTCAGCTACTGCTGGCGTTTGTTCTCTGCTGTCCATCAAAGGCTCTCCCACGACCACCCTCTTTCAATCTTTAGAAAAGGCGGAGAAATCCCCTCCCACCCCTCACTTCACTCTTCTTCCAAGATTCTTTCTCTTCCTCTTCTCTCACAACAGCAGCTCATCAGCCTGGCCACACATTTCCAGTCCTGGGGTGCGTGGGTGAGGAGGGACTTCCCAGCCCCCTACCTTGACGCGGACTCCACGGTTCCTCTGAGAGTCCCAGCCTCTGGCTCCCCGCCTGCCTCCCTTCTCCTTCCCACCACCCTCCCCCACATGAAGCCAGATGGGGCCGGCGTGCGCGTCCCGGTAGGGGACGGCGTTGGGACAGCGCACGGTCCGGAGGAGGTATAAGAGGGTCCAGAGGGAGGCGAGCAGCATCATGGTGGTGAGCAGCGCGAACACGTCCGTGTCGTACACCGCTACCTTGTTGAAGGCGCCGCCGCTGATGAGCGTGCAGGCAAGGAGCAGCACGTTCACGGCCAGCAGCACCGACAGCAGGCGGCCGCCCTCTTCCCACACCCGCGGGAGCCTGCCTCATGGCTCTCCTTGGGTCCCTGGGCCAGCCTGGACATGCAGGGGCGACTGGGCGGAGGCCAGGGGGTCACTGTGAGGAGGAGCGAACAGACCGGGGTCAACCCTGAGGGGCTTCAGACCCCTTCTCGGGGCCCTGCCTCGAGGGTGAGGAAAGAAAGTGCTATGGTGGCAGCCCTGTCGACCCCGTCCTAAGTCCCCACTCCCCACCCTGTTTTCCCCGTCTGGCACCCACCTGGCTGCGCCGGGAGCCCGCGCGAGCTGGGGGTCAGTGGCGAAGCGCCTCCTTCCACAGCGGGCTGGACGGGCGCTTTTATACCGGGAGGGCAGGGTGATTTACAGTTTCTTCGGGAGCTCAGCCCATAAATCTCTCAGCTCACCATGATCCATCTTTTTCTCCGAGCTGAATTTAGGGAAGAGCGCGCGGGAGCCATGATAAGGTAAGATTTATATTTCACCTGTTAAGTGCCCCTCCCCGCACCCCCCGCCGTCCCGTCACCTCGCCGGCTCGGGCGCAGCCCCGCACTGCGCGACACCTGAGGGCACTCCGGCCCTGGCGCCCACTGCGCCCCGGGCCTCCGCGACCCGGCCGCCCAGAGCCCCGAGCACTGATGATGCTCGATACACGGCCCCTGAGGGCCACAGGCACCTGGACGCCCTCCTGGCGCGCCCATATCTCGTGCCCCTCTGTTGTTTCAAGATCGGGACCCCAGTGCCTGTTTCCCGAGCCACCCCCACAGTGGTCGAAGTTCCACTTCCTCTATCCTCCCCGGAGTCTTCTGCCGGCTGGAAGCCGCCGGGCTTACCGTTCGCCAGAGGCGCGCGGAAATCCGCGTCCAGTCTTCCAGCGCCCCCGAGCGCGGCTCCTCGACCCCGCGGTGGGGGCAGGCGGTGGTGGCAGCCGGGACGCAAGGTGCTTCTTTCACCGTCTGGGGTCAGTCCTCAGACCTCCTAGGCCCAATGTCCTAGCGATCCAGACTGCCCTCGGACACCCCCTCCCCAGCCCTTGGCTCCGTCCTCGATTTGAGACATCGAGCCCCAGAGCGGGGCCCCGTGACGACAGACCTGACTGTCCGCAGATCAGGGCCCCCATGGGGGCGGGGGTGCTGAGGTGACTTTTGAACAGTGGGCAGCACTGCGTGGGTACTCCTGCGCGCCAGGCAGGGGTGTTTAGGACCCAGGGGCCTCCCGGGGCAGGCGGCTCCCCAGGCAGTGGAGATCCTTCTCTCCTCCTCCCAGCCTCCCGGGCGAGAGCGGCTCAGATGTCGAGTAGTGCAGGCTCCTGGCGCTCCGCAACCTGGTGTCTGGCAGGTAGCGGGGGGCTAAGGCCTGGCCCCCGCCCGCCCCCTCCCCCAACCCCATGCCTCAGCCAACTCCTCCGCCTTCCCCGCGGGGTATTTGGTCACCCTCCCCGTCCAAGTCAGGCGCCAAGAACGACCAGTACCACCGGCGGCCTGACGGCTACCTGAGCCTCAAAGAGGCCACCAGGAAGGAAGCCGAACGCCTCCCGACGAGGATGGCATGATCACCCCTGGGCTGCCTACCATGGCAACCTGAGTCCTTGGTGTCTCATCGTGAGCCGAGGGTGAGTACCCACTCTGGCCCTGCCTAAACCCGGTGGTGGAGGGGGTGGTGAGGAGAAGAGTCCTGCCTCCCAGGTCCCCTGAGACGCAGTCCCCAAGACTCCAAGGTACCTTCCCCCCACTCCTCTGAGCCACCCTCTTCTCTACTGACGCTAAGGTGGCTGGAGCCCGCGGGTGGCAGGAGGGGGCACAACTTGAGGCATGTGACCCTGGTGACCTGGATGTGGGGCTAGGAGGGGAGCGACCAATGTCAGCCCACGATTGCTGGAGGGGTTGCAGAGTGAGGGGAAGGTGGGAGAGATTTCTTGCGTTGGGTGACACCTGGAAGCAAGAGTGGGGATGGGAGAGAAGGGCCTCACTCAGGAGTGGCCTGGGTCCAAAGGCACCTCCCCCCCCCCCGCCGGTGCTGCACCTCCCTGCAGGCCAGGGCTCACACAGCTCTCTCCCAGCTCATTCTCGGGATTTATGGGCACTGTCCACAGCACCAAATGTCACTCCACACAGCCACCTCATTAACTCCCTCTGTGCCCCTCCCCCATGACGGCCTCCCTCTCCCCCCCTTAGGAGTTGTTTGGGGGGAAGAGTGGGCATAGAGTCCAGGTGTCAGAGCCAGGGAAGTGGTTTGAAGGTAGCGATTAAGGAATTCGGGGTCCAGGGCTGCTGACTTGGGCTCCCGGGGCTGAATGACACTGTGGACAACTTCCCCAGCCTCCACAGTTTTCTACAGAGAGGTCACCTGGTTGAACTGGACACCTGGGCCGCCTGGCCAGGGAAAAGGAGTGGAAGACTTGCCCCAGGAGGGTTACTAGGAGCATCTCAGGCCCTGGGAAATCACGGTGGAGACAAAAGGGGCCCAGCTGGCCCTGGTGCCCGATGCTGGCCTGTGGCCCGAACACGTGGTGGGTGGGGTGTGGTGGCTGGGGAGCCCCCTTGCCCTCCCTCCGAGGCCCCGCTCCTCAGGCGGGCAGCAGGTGGGAGCAGCCCCTGACACCAGGCAGCTAAGCCGCGTTCCAAGAAGCCAAGACCGGCCCCTTCCCACACCAAGAGAGCACACAGCGATCCTGCCGTCCTGCTCCTCCCATCAGAGAGGTCCATGGGAGGAGGGGAAAACGGTGGCTTCCCGGTGCACCAAGTCCCCAAACTCCTACAGACCACAAGGGTTGGTGTTGGAAGGGGCATGGGCCAGATGCCAAGCAGCTCCTTGCCACATTGTCCTGCAGGACTTGGCACCAGTAGGAGAAGCGTGGAGAGGGTTGTGTGTGTGGGGGGAACTGTTGAGACAAGGGGGTGATTCTTCCTCCAGCCTTGCGGGGTGGCCTCGTGGCCTCATTAGTGTGAGCTAGGCCCCTGCGGGAGGGGAGCGCTTGGAGAAGCCAGCCGGAGCATGCCCAAGGGGGCACGGTCTGGTGGTGGAGGGGATTGGAGGGTGCTGGGTGGGTCCCCTGGGCAGGCCCAAGCCAGCCTGCCTGACAGGGCTCCCAAAGACGGGGCAGCCCCGGGAAGGGAGGGCTGCTGGGCCCAGGTTGCAGACTCAGCTCCTCCTCCCCTTCCGACCTGGCTGCCCCCACACTCCCCTCCCAGCCCAGGCCAAGACCCGACACCTGCTCTCACACGCAGCCTTGCCAGGTCTGGCCCTGCTCCCTGCAGACGTGGCCGTGCCCGCCCACGCCCAGGCACACACTCTCACACACACTCACCCAGGGCTCAGGCTCAGCACCCATCACCCTCTCCTCCTCTTTTGTGGGCACCCTGCACCCGCAGCCACACTCACCACCACGCCTGCCTAGAGACCCAGACTCGCCCTGGCCCACCACCTCTCTGGGCCAGCTCCCCACTGGGCTCCATGAATAATTCACTCCTGTCTCTGTGGGCATCAAATATTTATCCCCTGAGATTCCCAGCCATCAGTTCTCTTGGGGAAGGCCCCGCCCCGGCCCCGCCTTTTCTGTCGCCCCGCCCCTTGCGAGTCTGGGGCCACTCCCCCCGCCCCCGGGCTCTGTCTAGGTCTGCCTGGCGTCTCCCGAGTCAGAGGAGACATCTCGGCCCTCGGGTCCCGCCGGTGTGCCCGTGGGGCGGCCCACACGGGCCGGGAGCTCCCTACACCTGCAGCCAGTGCCGCCTGCCCGCCCCACATGGTGTTGGTTCATCACCCTTCCTCGCGTGTCCTCCCTGCAGGGGTGACCCCGACAAGTGTGACATCTGGGGCAACACGCCCCTGCACCTGGCAGCTTCCAATGGCCACCTGCACTGCCTCTCCTTCCTGGTGTCCTTCGGGGCCAACATCTGGTGCCTGGACAACGACTACCACACGCCGCTGGACATGGCCGCCATGAAGGGCCACATGGAGTGCGTGCGCTACCTGGACTCCATCGCGGCCAAGCAGAGCAGCCTCAACCCCAAGCTGGTGGGCAAGCTGAAGGACAAGGCCTTCCGCGAGGCGGAGCGGCGCATCCGCGAGTGCGCCAAGATGCAGCGCAAGCACCACGAGCGCATGGAGCGGCGCTACCGGCGCGAGCTGGCCGAGAGGTCGGACACGCTCAGCTTCTCCAGCCTCACGTCCAGCACCCTGAGCCGCCGGCTGCAGCACCTGGCGCTGGGCAGCCACCTGCCCTACTCGCAGGCCACGCTGCACGGCACGGCCAGGGGCAAGGCCAAGATCCAGCGGAAGCTGGAGCGGCGCAAGCAGGGCGGCGAGGGCACCTTCAAGATCTCCGAGGACGGCCGCAAGAGCGTGCGCTCGCTCTCGGGCCTGCAGCTGGGCAGCGACGTGATGTTCGTGCGCCAGGGCACCTACGCCAACCCCAAGGAGTGGGGCCGCTCCCCGCTCCGGGACATGTTCCTCTCGGACGAGGACAGCGTCTCCCGTGCCACGCTGGCGGCCGAGCCTGCCCACTCGGAGGTCAGCACCGACTCAGGCCACGACTCCCTGTTTACGAGGCCCGGCCTGGGCACCATGGTGTTCCGCCGGAACTACGTGACCAGCGGGCTGCACGGGCTGGGCCGCGAGGACGCGGCGCTGGACGGCGGGGGCGCGCCGCGAGGCCGGCTGCAGAGCTCCCCCAGCCTGGACGACGACAGCCTGGGCAGTGCCAACAGCCTGCAGGACCGCAGCTGCGGGGAGGAGCTGCCCTGGGACGAGCTGGACCTGGGCCTGGATGAGGACCTGGAGCCCGAGACGAGCCCGCTGGACACCTTCCTGGCCTCTCTGCACATGGACGACTTCGCCTCCCTCCTGCGGCAGGAGAAGATTGACCTCGAAGCGCTGATGCTGTGCTCCGACCTTGACCTCCGCAGCATCAGCGTCCCCCTGGGGCCCCGCAAGAAGATTCTGGGGGCCGTGAGGAGGAGGAGGCAGGCGCTGGAACGCCCGCCTGCTCTGGAGGACACAGAGTTGTGAGTGTCCTGGGCTTTGGGGGATGGGAAAAGGGGTCAGAAGGCCTTGCGGGTGGGATCTGCCTTTTCGGGAATGGGGGGGGGGGGAGTCAATACCGTATTTCATAAAATCTAAGTCCCCATCCATTACAAGAGGTCCCACTGAATTTGTTTACCCCCAATTCTGAAAACGAAGCTGCCAGTTTCATGACAAGGGAGGAGGCCTTCTTATCACAGCTAATGTAAAATGCACCTTGACTTTGGAGATAATCAAAATGCCCCCAAATGGGTGTCTTAGGACAGTTGAGATCCAGTAGTCATAGTAATCAGAGCCCGGATGTTTTGAGCCCTCCCATCTACTGGGTGCTGGAGATACCGCTGCATGTGTCCCTTAATTGAGTCCTCCCCAGCTCCTGGGTGCAGGGGCTGTATCATCCCCATTTTCCAGGGGAGCAAGTGGAGGCTCAGAGGTTTTGAGCGGCTCACCCCAAGGGCCTGCTGCTGCTTGATCCCCGGTCTGTGTGGCTCTAGAGCCTGGGGACTAGGTGACTCCCATGGAAGGAGAGTTGTCGCGTTCAAAAGCTGTCAGGGAGAGCTCAAGTCTGCTATCGCACTGGTGGCCGTCCCTGCCCCGATCCCTTTCTCAGGGCATCCCACCCCTAGGCCAATGTCCCCATCCCTGACCGTTGGCCTGCCAGGACAGGGTCAGTCGTCCAAATGGCTGGTCTTGGTTTAAAATGATGTCTTGAAAGCCCTTACCTGAAGTCTGTTTCTGTGTCTTTCTCTCCAGGTAACAGGGGGCTCCTCTCTCGAGACCAAATGAATTGCGAGTTGCCACAACCCACCGTGAGGCCACGAGGTCCTCACGGTCGCCAGCCCTGAAGCCCCCCCCGGCCCCTCCCCAGGAGCAAAGACCGTGTGGGTCATCTCCCTTGAAAGCCTGTCCACACTCCGCAACGGAGGTGTAGTCTGGAGGTACCAGCAAGGAGTCCAGGAGCCCTTGAGCCACTCCCGTCTGAATGGCCCTAAAGGACATGTGGATTCCTGGGAGGCCAGCTCCAGAGGAAGGGCAGGGGACCCCTGGGGCCCCAGGGGATAGACGACATACCCATTAGAGCTGGATGGGAGTGTGTGTGGAGGGGGCATGGCCTGTCCCAGGGGCCGCTGTCTCTCCCCACCCCTCCTCTGAGGGTCCTGCTGCGCTCAGGCTGGAGACTTGCCCACTTCTTACATTTTTGTGAAGGGAAGAGTTTGGGCTGGCTCCCTCCACTCCCCCCACGCCGCAGAGAGGAGGTTCCTGGCTAGACTCTTCAGCCAAATGCCCTGACTTGGGTCCCCACTCCTGCCCCAAGCCAGCCCCCTTCTCCTTCACCTGTTGGCCATGTCCGGGAGTTGGAGCGCCAGGCTGGCATGAAGTGGGGGTGACTGGCACCCTCACCGGCTCACCTGGTGGTGGGGCCTGGCCTGACTCTGCCCTCCTCACCCTGCCTCCAGCCCGGTCCCCCTCCAGGGACCCCAGAGGGTCAGGCCGGTAGATGCAAGGTGCTAGAGCAATAATCTGCAGTATTATGGCCCCGAGGCCTGGCGGGCGTGCCCTGGGCTGGAGGAAGGCATCTGCCAACAGCCTCAGCTGGGTGTCTAGCCTAGTTTGGGCAAGTCCTGGGACATGGAAGAGCCTGGGGATGTGGATAATCTAAGCTGCTGACTGTCCCCAGGTCCCCAGGGCCCTGTGCATGTGTGTCTGTGCTGGGGGATGGCTGGTGGCTTTCCCTCCGGGTCTGGAGGCGGCTGGGCAGCTGCGAGGTTCTGTGTAGGTAGGTCAGCAGGAGCTCAGTATGTGTCCCTGCTCTGTGATGGCAGTGAGACCAGGGAGGAGGCCAGCCCCGGACCCGCATCCCTGACCCTCCCGCTCCCACCGGGGGCACCACTGCAGCTCCCGTCTCTTCCCTGGGCCCCCTTGGCTAGGTCAGGAGATGAGGGGACACCCAAAGAATGCCACAGGCCTCCCTCTGCATCTGTGTCTGTGCTGGGGGAGGGGGACGGGGGAGCGGTTTCCGTTCCCACAAAGAGGGCTTGGTGGCCTGTCGCTGCCACCCTGAGCCCATGCCAGTCCTTTGCCCTGTCATCTGGGCCTGGGGCCGCCCCCAAGTGCCGACTCGACTTTCTCAGAGCCCCAGGTGCTGCCCTTTCTCTTCTGTTCCCTGTGTCCTGCCTCAGCCTCCTCCCTGTTCTCCCAGTTCCCGGGGTGGGGCAGGCTCTGGGGTTCCCACTGCCGCACAAAGTACCCCTCCCGCAGGCTCATTATAACTTTTGTAGAGAATGTTTTGTATCGTTGTCACACCTGTGTCTCGTTCTTTAACCACTGGGGAGTGGGAGAGGGAGAAGGTCTTTGTGTACCGAAGGGGGCTTGGTCCTCGTGGGCCCCCTGGAGGGGGTCCAGGGATGGATGGTTGGGCATGCCCCACCCCCATGCATCCTCGCAGGGCCTTCCCTCATCCCTGGGTCTTCACCCTGCTGTTTGTGGGCCCAGAATTTGGAGCTGAGGGAGAGGGAGTGTTCAGAAGAATGGGGACAGGCAAGCTGGAAGCTGAGTGGGGGGGATGGTCCAGGCTGCAGCTGCTAAGGACAGCTTTCTCCGTTTCCAATGGGGCCTGCCTGGCCTTCTCCAGACATGGGCAGAAGCTGTACCCAAGGAGGCCACCACTCATCACCCAGGCCCCATAAGCCCTCATCTCAAGGCCCCAGCCCACCCTGGGAGGCCACCAGTGCAGTCCCCATTTCCCTCACCACCCCAGGCAGCTCTTGGGGCAGCCCTATTTAGAACCTTCCTTTGTCCCAGAGGTAAGGCTTCTCCTTAAGCTGTAGGACAATGGCCTCTGTTTGCTCAGTCAAGCCTGAGAAAGGGCCCTGGAATCATTTTATTTCATTCCCTAAGGATGCTGGGTCAAGTGCTTCTGCTAAAGGGAGTTCAAGACAGCTCTCTCCCTCCAGCATCAATCAGAATGGTCGAGAGGATGTCCCAGCGGGAAGGTTGCTTAGCAACCATCTGGGGTTCTAGGTCATCTCCCTCCACTTTACAGATGGAAAAACGGAGGCCTACCAAGGGGACGATCCAGACTCAGAACACTAGCCTCCTGACTGCTGCCACACTTCCCCCCCCCACCCCCCCCCAGGCTGCTAAGGGGGCCAGTGGAGTGGTGGGATTCTGTCGGATGCTCCACAGGGTTGTCCACCCTGCGACCCCTACTGGCCATCCTGGTCACTGCACCTACCTCAGGAAAGACCGGCCAGTCGTGGCGCCGCTGTTCCAGGAAACGGACATGGGGGGTGAGGACTGAATAACAAGACAGCAGATAGGAACTTCAGCGTAGAGGCAGGAGCTAATCCGAAGCACTGGGGGCTGGGGTCTCCATGGGTCAGTGTGGCCCGAGGGTGGAAGCCTGAGGCACAAGAGCATGTGCAGCTGTGGGAAGTCTGAGGGGATTTTAAACACAGTGAAGCGAAGAATTTTACGTGGTAAGGGGTTCAGCCTTCTCCACCCATTCCCCTTAAATTTAGATCGAGGTTAGATCGAGGAAAGTTTAGAAAAATCCATTGCTCTTAGCCTTTTGGTATTAGAATCTACTAATAACATGGGCCACTTTCCCTGGAAAAATGCACACCGGTCAGACAAACACTCATATACAATTTCGTTCATAATTCCAGGCAGTTCCTGGAGCTCCAAGAGGTCCAGGGACCCCATGTTAAGATGCCCTAGACTGCTCTGAAGTCACATCATAAACGGGATTACTAATTCGATGGAGATGGAGGTGTCAGAATGAATCAGGCAGGAAGGGCCTCTGGTTATGTGGCACAACCTCATTTTACAGATGAGATAACTGAGGCCCAGAGGGCAAGGGCCTGGCGGTAGATAGCAGAGCAGCCAAATGAGCAAAGTGGCATTAAGTGTCCTGATGCCCTTCCATGGTGTCAGCTGCCTCCTGTCCCCGTGTGAGACCAGTTCTGCACAGCACGACGGCCCTGTGCTCCCAGGGCATGCCTGTGTCACCTGTGAGATAAGCCTGGGTTGCACAGGACATGGCAGGACTCAGGAGACAGCCAGATCTGGGCGGCAAACCTGGCTCTGGCCCTTCCCAGCTGTGTGGCCCTGGGTAAGTTACTCAGCCTCTCTGGGTCTATTTCCTCAAATGAAATAGGTGGTTATAACTTATTATACTCACAGTGCTAACCCCATGGATCATTAGGAGGTGGAATGATCGTGCAGTGTTAATGCACAAGAAAGCATTTAACACACCTGCCTGGTATTCAGTACATACCCGTTAGTAATGACCAGTTATCGGTGGTCTTGGGCCCATGAGGTGCTCACTGCATCTGTGGCCCCCTCCCCCAACCATAGGTAAGTTCTAGGCCTTTCCAGAGAGCAGTTTTGCTTTTTTGAGCCCCATAGGCCACCCCACCCGTCACACTAGCTCCTGGAGACAGTACTGAAGGCATCCTGTTCCGACCAACTGGGGGCGTTGAGGATCAGCCACTGGCTAAGGAATCGTCGGTTAGATAAGGATGGGTCACTATCCAGTGGGAAGACCCCTGGGGAATCAGAGTTGTTCCTGGGCTGCCCAAGGAGCTGGGCATTTTTTCCGGAGGAAGAATCACAGGTCCATTGGCCTGGCCCCATTATACTACTCTCTGAACGTTAGAGTTTATCAAAAACTCTCCCTATTCCTGTGAGGTAGGTGGGTGAGGAGTTTTAGCCCCACTCCATAGATGAAAAAATTGAGCATCAGAGAGGTTTTGTGACATATTTAGGTCCCAGTAAATTAAGGAAAATTCAGGCTCCCTAACCGGGTCCCTTCAGCCACTCCTGTCTCCAGAGGTAAGCTTTCATGTTTTTTCACTATTAATGTTGAGAACGTATAAGATGTTAGGTGCTTATGTTACTTTATATACATTCAATCCTCACAATAAAGCCACAGCTCTATAAAGCAAGGACTATATTATGATTATTATCCCCATTTTATGGGTGGGAAAACAGAAGGTCAGAGCAGGGATATGAATTGCCCAAGGTCACAGAGCTATTAGGTGGACAAACCAGGCCTCAGAGACAAAGTTCCGTGGTACTATGCCTAACCATGGCATATCGCCCCCCTGCCCCTCCCCCCCAAGCACTTGTATCCTTTGGTGGGAGTTGTTTTTGGTGTTAGGTCCCCTTGACCTGGTCGTGCCTGGTCTAGGCAGATGCCAGACTCAGGCTGGCATGGCGGGGTGGGGGGAGGATGCTGGCAACTTCAGTGGCCTAAGCACCTGGGCTGACCCGCCTGCCCTGAGGGGCTGGGCTGAGAGAGGGCCAGTTGGGGTGTGGGTCCACTGGGCAAGATACTGGGGGGCCGTGTGGGAGGGTAAAAGCCGGCCCAGATGGGGAAGCAAGGGTCTGAAGCATTTTGTCGTGACTAGGGAGTCTGCCTGTCCCCCTTTCTGTCCCCCTATCCCTTGGTCTCTCTGCCCTATCTCTCCTTGTAACACAGGGCACCTGCTCAGTCTCTCCTCTATCCCCTCTTTCTGTTGCCTTGTCTTTCTAGACCTCTGTCTCCCTTGCTGTTGGTCACATAATAAGAAATGTATGTTTGGTAACTGCTCCCACCTCCTGACACAGAGCTCCTGAGTCCCTTGGAAGTCCCTGGGTGAATATCTTTTGTTCACATGAAGTGACTCTGGGTGGGCTCCAGAACAGATTCAGAATGGGGGCTTGTCACTATGGCTAGCAGCCTGGAACTTTCAGTGCCTCTCCATCCTTTGGGGAGGGGAGAGGAGCTGGAGATTGGATTAATGATCGATCATGCCTTCATAATGAAACCTCTATAAGCAACCCTAAACTACGGGGTTCAGAGAGCTTCTGAGTTGATGAATGCAGCCATGTTACGAGAGAGTAGTGTCTGCTCCACAGGGACAGAAGCTCCTGCACTCAGGAGCCTTCTGGACCCTATGTATCTCCTCATCTGGTTGTTAATACGGATCCATTATAACACACTTTACAACAAACTGATAAATGTAAGTAAAGCTCTTTTCTCAGCTCTGTGAGCTGTTCTAGCAAGTTATTGAGGCTCAGGGGCAGGTTCTGGGAACCCCCAAATTTGTAGCCAAGTTGGGCAGAAGTGCAGGTAGCCCGGGGCCCCAGGAAGTGAGGGCGTCTTTGTGGCACCGAACCCTGGGATCTGTGGAGTCTGACACTAACCCGTAGTCAACTTCAGGATGGAATCAAATTACAGGTTGGTTGGTGCCCAGTGTTGGAGAATTGGTTGTTGGTGTGGGGAAAAGCCCACATTTGGTGTCAGAAGTGTGAGGAGAGGAGCAGATTTGGCGTCTTTCTCTCAATCTGTCTTCCCATGCGTTCAGGCTCCTTGTCCCCCTCCCCATCTTGGTCCTGGTCCTATCTCAGGTTGAATCAGAACTCTGGAGCCCAGCCTGTCCTTAAAGGCCCTTCCTCTCCTCACTCCACACCTCAAACTCAGCAGTCCGAGGCACCCCCCCAGGGATCCCTAAGGTTTCCTGGAACCCAGCATTAAAACCACTGAAGTCATGCCTGAACTACATGGGCAGTATAGCGACTATGCATATGGGTTCAAATCCCAGACCTGCCACGGCAAAGCAATGACTTTTGTCAAGTCACTTAACTGCTGTGTTTCTTCTTCCTTAATATGGACGTGTAATGGCCTTCCTTAAATTTAAAAATTTTTAAAAATGTTTATTTATTTTTAAGAGAGAGACAGAATGTAAGCAGGGGAGGTGCAGAGCGAGAGGGAGACACAGAATCCAAAGCAGGGTCCAGGCTCTGAGCTGTCAGCACAGAGCCTGACATGGGCCTCGAACTCACGGACAGCGAGATCATGACCTGAGCCAAAGTCGGATGCTTAACCAACTGAGCCACTCAGGTGCCCCCATTTTTTTTAAAGTTTATTTATTTAAGGGGTGGGGGGAGAAAGAGAGAGAGAGACACTGCACAGGTGCACATGCAAAGGCAGGAAAGGAGCAGAGAGAGAGGGAGACACAGAATCCCAAGGAGGCTCTGTGCTGTCAGCGCAGAGCCTGATGTGGGGCTTGAACTCTCACAAAACGTGAGGTCATGACTTGAGCTGAAACCGAGAGTTGAACACTTAACCGACTGAGCCACCCAGGCCCATCTGCGAAGTGGGTTCTCTGTTGGGGTTCCTGTATGAGAGCTGTCTGGCACCCAGCAGGCACACAGCACGGGTCTCTGACCTGAGTTTCACCTCCCATCCATAATAGTAGTAACACGCAGTATGACCCAAGCATTTCAAGTGTGTTAGTCACATGGTCTCCAGGGCTGTTGTGATTCCTGGTTTTCAGATGAGGAAACCAAGGCGCAGAGATGTTTGTAAAACGTGCCCAAGCTCACAAGGCTGGCGGTGGTGGAGCTAGGGCTCCAACCCAGACAGGCTGGCTCCTGTCTGTGCCATGTCTCATCATGATGGTGAGCATTTATCGAGCACCTGCTGTATGTCAGCACTTTACATCTGTGATGGCTATGAATTCACATGACAGCCTCATTTAATAATTACAGGGGGTCAATTAACCCATTTGACAGAGGAGAAAACCGAGACTCAAGAACACTAGGTTGTTGTGTGGCTCATACAGCCAGTAAGAGCACACACAGGGCCTGACTCCTTGTCTGTCTGACTCTGCATAGCTGCACTCTGGACCAGCTGCTCCCCGGGTTTCTATAGCTGAATGACTAAGTCTGATGGGGTTTGGAGACCGAGGTAGGGAAACTTCTGGCAAGTCCATTCAGAGCCCCTAATGCCTGGTCTTTAGAGAAAGGCCCTTGGGGCGTGCCAGTGTGGTGAGCCCTGGAAAGCTTTTAAAGCTACAAATCTCATTTTTACCTTCTCTCACTGTGGTTTCTTTGTTCCATGGGCCCACGTGGGTCTGCATGGGCATTTTGGGGGGCTGTGGGACCCTCTCCCTGCTCTGGATATGCACACTCCTGAGAAGCGTTTCCTCTGGACCCTGAACAGTAGTTGATGGGGCCCTGGTGGGCAGGGGAAGGGGCTTGCTCTGGGAGGAGAGGGGGCGGGGACAACAGTAGCTGCCAGTCTGACCCCTGATCCCCAACACCACTGCCCCCTTTCCACAGAGTCACAGCACCCTCATAGTCTCTTCAAGCGGGCAAGGGCAGGAAGGCATTCTTTACTAGCCCCATTTCTCAGATGGGGCAACTGAGATTCAGGAGAGCCAATGACCCGCCAGCAAGTGCCCAAACCAGGGTGTCAATTCTGGTGCATTTGCACTGCCACTCCCTGCTAGCTGTCTTC